TCTCTGAACAGCTCGCAGCAGCGTCAACACTTTTGACCGCGCGATCATCTGCCCTTCGAATGGTGGCACCTCTTCCTCGCTACACTTGGGACTGTTCAGCCGCCCAGTCCGCGAAACGATGGGCCACCTCATTCACATGCACCAAGAACTACGCAAGTCACTGTCTGGGCCGAGGTGGGGTGTCCTTTCGTCGACAACACGCTGGGAGCCTCTGAGAGTTTCCCTCCGTTGTCCGAAGACACCGTGGACGATGGCCCATGTATCTAACATGCCGCGTGTCTCGAATGCCCTCGGACACATACTCGCTCCTTCTACTACCAGCAGACAATCGCAGTGCACTCGGACGCCCGCTGGTGACCATGGCCAACTGGGCGGGGGCGGGGCGCGCAGCGCGCGGGGGAGACGAACGCGCGCAGGGCAAAGATCCACAGCCGACTGCATCAACACAACGCTCAGCACCTGTGTGAACGATTGACCAGCCGCTCCTGCGAAGGCGCCAATCCTTCGACGATTTCCCCCGCGATGCGTCGGTGCCCCAGACTCCTCCTTCGATCTCCCTCCCACCCTGGAAACGGCCCCAAACCCAAGCGATGCCCCGCGGAGGAGGGGGGCAACCCGCAGAAGACTTCAAGGGAGGAAGCCCGTGGCAACAGGAAATAATCATATCGGTCTCAGCGGCGGAAAGATCAGACAGGTCTAGGGCCTCCTCATGCAAGCGATCAGAAATCTGATCATTGCACGCGCATTTCCACCAGGAATGGTGAAAAAAAGGGTCCCTGCTGAGGGGCCGAACATGCTTGAAATTGCCGCGGTGACCGGGAAACGCCCTGCCGCGCGCAGTCTGTCCTTAGGCCAAAACCCGACAGACAAACTAGTCCCAATGATACCAGCGGTTTCGTGATCACCACCTCTTGACAACAGCGAATTCCACTCCCCCTCCGAGCCTCGCAGTAACGACAGGAGCATTGCCCAGCGAGATGGCAGAGCAGGTGGTCTGAAGGGTAGGCCGCAACTGGAATGGGACGTTAAAATCAGCGATCCTCTACTGACCACCCCCCCGAGTGCAGAGCCAAAAAAAACGGGGGGCAATGGCCCGCTCGGGGCCCCACGACGCCACGACGGTTGCGAAGATGGGTCCCGTCACAACGTGCCGCCAGAATTTGGCGCCTTCACTGCATCCTCGACTTCTGATCGAAATCGCCCCACGCATTGCTGAGCCCGTTCGCCTGCCCAAATCTGAGACGAAGCTGGAAATCGCCCCTAGAACTACCGACCGCGTCCAAGACGGTCGCGGCGCGAGCGCCAGGGGCCCGCCGCCCAGAGCATGCGGCAGCCTGAGTAGTCATCGACTGGACCGGGGCAGGAGGCAAACCGAAAACGTCGTGGCCCCAAGGCCCAACTGCCAAAACACCAAAGTTGCAAAGTATGCTGACGCGCCCAACCAGCGTGGACAGAAAACGGCCCGCCTTGAGCGCGATGAAATGAAAGCAATGGCGAGCCTTTGCGGCAGCATGCGCGCGGCGCGCCTTTGTCCCGCATGAGCGTCGGCGCGTCTCGCGCGTCAAGCCTGCTCTGGATAGGCAGGCCGGCACTCCTGCAACGGGCCGCGACCTCCTCCCGCAGCCGCAAACTGGAAGAGACAAGGAGTTCCAGCTCCTACGAGCTCGCGGCGCAGTAGGTCAGTGCCTCGGTCACATCTAAGCCAGGAGCGCGCGCGACCCTCGTGGGAGGGCCTTAATCAGCCGCAGCTTCGCGCCAGCCTCAATCTTCGCGCGCTCGACAGACCCGGCCGAAGTCAGAGCCGAACTGACCGCGCCAGGACAACGATTCAAGCCATCGCGATCTTGGGCGAAGGGTCCACAAAGCTGAGCCTACCGCGATTCAGCTGACCTTGGATCTCCAAGAACCTGCAACTCATCGAATCGGCTGGCCATCCCAGCAAGGAGCAAGGACCCCCCTGCAGGTGCAGAAGGACTTCCAAAGCATTTTGGCGAGAGACAGCCGAAACTCCCATCGCTTCTGACATGCGCGAGCCCAGGAGGACATGACGAATTTCTGGCGCGCGCAATCCCAGCGCCCAGCCGCCCCGCGCGCGAACTGGGGGCGCACTCGGCGGGGGCGCGCCCCTTAAGGGGGGGGGGTCGTGCCAGAGGCCCTGGAGAGCGTCGTCATCTCGGCAGCCTTGATCCACGCGGCACACTCCGCAGCAGACTCCGAAGAAAGGTGCCTCTGCAAAGGGGGGCAACCGTGTCAGGCAAAAAACACGCACACCAAAAAAAAAAAAAAAAACACGCGGGCGGCGGCGACAGCTGGTCTCGGAGATGCGCGACAGGAAAGTGCCTCAGGCCGGGCCCCGTGCACTGGGGACTGGATTGCACCTCGCGCGTCTCCACAACCTCTGCTCGACCGCTGCGCGCGCCGACGACACTGGAAAGGCAGGCGTACGTCTCGAAAGGGGATGTCGTGTTTGGAGACCTGAACATCGCCAGGTCAGTCCTCGGAGACCAGCGCGCAATCGAGAAGGAGGAGGAGGAGGCGGAGGAGGAGGAGGAGAAGGCGGAGGGTGAGGAGGAGGGGGGGGGGGGGGAGGAGGAGGGGGAGGAGGAGGAGGAGAGCAGAGGAGGAGGAGGAGGAGGAGGAGGTCGATCAAAGACCTCCCCTCCTGCAAGCAAGCGGAACCCACGCCTTCCGGCGCCGCGGCGCGCGCGCGCGGGCAGTGCGCGGACCGCTGCTCAACTCCAGATCGGCAACCCGAATGTTGCACTCTCCAACCGGAACCCACGGGACAGTCGGGCCCCAGAGCAACTCGGAGATTTCTCTCGACCTTTCCATGCTACCACTAGAGACGCCCAGGCCCGAAACGAAGCGCCCAGAACGAATGGCAAGTGCCGCATGCTTGGCTTCCAGTTGCAGGAGCACCCAGCAAGAGCGCCGCACGCTTGGCTTACAGTTGCAGGAGCACCCAGCAAGCCCAAGAACTGAAGCCCATGAGGGAGGCGACAGACGCCAAGAACTCACGGGCACCGAATTCTCGACTAAGTAAGGCCCCGCGCCCCCATCCCCCGTCCCACGCGCCAGACCTCCTGCATGGGGGCCCCGGCCGGAAGAAAATTGGGGCCCCGTCATCTTGTTGCGCTGGCTTTTAGTAGGCCGACAGGCCTCAAGAAGAAGCCTGTGCCCGAGCAAGAAAAAGGCGGCACACAGTGATTTGATCTCCAAAGCAAAAGAAACAACCTTATTCCAACTCGCGACGCTACATCACAAAAACTGGATCGCCCTTGGAGGAGGGTTTCGACCGATGGCGGCTCGCAGGCCGCCTCTCGTCGAAGAGGCTGCGCTCCCGACCCCGCGGCAGCCAGCAGTGCAAGGGAGGGTGCGCCAGTCTACTCAGTTGGGGCCCCCGGTGCAACCTGGAGCTGGCGCAACACGCGAAACTGACTTCATCGAAAACAAGCCTTGCGCGCATCTGCTTGCCGGCATTCCCAAACTCGAGCTGTTGGCTGTTGGCCGTGCACCATGCGCGCCAAGCCCCGTCATCTAGCTGAGACATACCAATCAGGGGCGAAGGGCTGGCCATGCTGGACACCCTGCTGTCGAAGACCGAGGGCTCCTCCGTCAGCAGCGTGTGGCCCACCTGCGGGAGGTTGGGCAGCAGGCGCTTGTGCAGGGCTAGCGGGATGGCCAGCTCCTCCTGGGGGCGCGGCGTGGACGGCAGGGCCACCAGCAGCAGCTGCCGCTTGCTCATGACGGGCTCGCGCTGCCTGCTGTTCAGCCTCATGGGCTTGCCGCCGCTCTCCTTCACGAGGCCCGACGCGAAACCGCTCAGGTTGAAAAAACAGTTGGGCCTCGTAGGGCGACTTGGGCTCCTCCTGGCACTCGGTAGGCACTTGGACTGCGTCCGCACGCAATCCTTTAGCTCGCACCAGCGCCTCACGATGCTTGACCCCCGACGCCAGCCGAGTCTCCACCTCACTCTGTGCGATTCGCTCGGCGCGCGAGACACGCTCCGCCTCCTTGGTGAGCTCGGCCTGGCGGGCAGCCACGCTGCGCTCCAGCTCGCTCTCGGTAGCGGGTTCGGGAGCGACCGCTGGCTCCGCGGCAGCTGCCACCTGCTGACTCGCCGCCTGGAGCCTGGCCGCCATGCCTGGATGATGAAGAGCGAATGCTGCCAACTGTGCGAAAGGCTTTTGCGCAGCTTTGTCGCCACCAGCTGCGTATGCACTGTGCTCCTCGCGGTCACGACGCTGGCCACCGCATGCCGAGCATGCCCGATTACAGTATCGATCGTACTCCCAGCGGCCGCACTGCGCACAGACTGAACAGGAATCCGTCCGACCCCTCTTGGATCCACGACTCCACCCAGCACGCTTCGCCCGAGCACCATGCCACGGGGCATTGTAAAGCAGCGCCATCTTGGAAACTCGCTTTCAATGTTGTAGGGTGCGGAGAACTTCTATTGCACATCTCCTTGCATCTGAATGCTGTTTCCAAGGTTACTATGCGTTGTTTACCTTGTCTCCATTCTCAAGTTGCGGGTGTGTGGGGTGCAGGACCTCGCACACTGACATGACACACCTGGGCAGACGGGTTGGAGCAGGCGCCCCGAGCCTGGGCGGACAGGCTCCCCGGCCGAGGCCCTCCGGGGGCCTGACAGCTGGACAGGGATCTGGCCGCGGACCAGCGGTACCCGCCCGGCTCGCCTGAGAGTCTTGGACAGCTCGGGCCAAGACGGCTGCGGGAGGGAGGAGGGAGGGGTGCAGGGCTCGAGCTAAACAGTGTTTTCCGTTTTCGTTTTGTTTTCGTCATCCCTAGTTCTGTCTTTGTTTCACATGTGCTGCAAAACGAAGTCAAAACGAAAACGGCCCACGAAATTGCCAAAACACCGTTTAGCTCGAGCCCTGGGAAGAGGACGAGAGGATGACCACGAGAAGTGAGGAGCAGCGGGCGGAGTACGCAACTGCAGGCGAGAAGGCACACCTCTGGCGTCTGGCGCGCCGCGCCTTGTTGAAGGACAAGTTCTTGGTGAGGAAGGGGGTCACCTCCTCACGGAAGGCCTTCTCCAACACGGCGGCGTCCTCCTCCTCGGGGCGCCCCTCCGCCGCCGTGTCGCCCTCTCCCTCCCTCCTCTTGCTCCTCCCTCCCTCCTGTTCCTCCAGCCCGGAGGCCCTTCTCCTCCTCCGTACTCCTCCTGATCCGCCCCCTCCCTCCTCTCCACCACCACCGCCGCCACCCCCTGTCCCCTTTCACTCCTCCTCCTCCTCCTCCTCCTCCTCCTCCTTCTTCTCCTCATTCTCATCCTCCTCCTCACTTCCCCTTTCCCATGTTGGCCCCGATTCCGCAGCCACGTGGGCTCAAGCTGCTTGGCTCGAGTCTTCGCTCGGGGGGAGGAGCGACACGACCACTCGGGGCTTCCAAGAAAGCCCCCAAGTCCAAATACGTTACGTCTGCTCCGCGCCAGGCCTTTCGTGCACCTCTTGCCCCTCGCAGGAACTATCGTGCGTGGGCCGCCATGGCGTCCCCCGTGGGAGCAACAGCACTATCACTGCACCGTGGGGTGCTCTGAATGCGGACTTTTGCAGTGCTCTGGAATGGGCTCCCTGTGGCTCCAACTTTACATGCTGCCGCAAGCGCAGTGGGAAAGTTCAGGGGTCCAGGCAGAGGACGAGGCGATCGGGGCTCCCACCCGAAGCCGCCAGAAGAAGCCACCCACGGGTCGAATGGCGAGCGCCTGGCCGAGGGCACTCGCGAGAAAATGCAGAAAGACAGCCCGAAGCAGATCGAGGACTAGCAAGATCAACGTGCAGCCCCAGAGTCATCGGAATCAGCAGCTGCTGAGCATCGTTGAACCATCCCCTATCTCCATTGGCGTGGCCTGGGCCCCACTGGCCGATTTACCCCCCTAGATGAGGAGATCTAGGCCGTTTCCCCTGGGCTTCGAGGGGTATATCCCCAACTGGGGTGCTGAGAAGGTGGGGGCCTGGATAGGGAAGGAGATGGGGATAAAGGGTCGGTTAAACGATCCTGAGGTGCGGTGTAATCCCCGACCCGCGCTGGGAGTGAGGAGCGCGAGGCTCCTACTACAAGGCGGCAGCTCAAAACCTCAGACCCGCTAATCATCAAAAACCTCCAACCGAACCGCTCGGACAGCAGTAGCTACCGCGTCGGGGTTGGACTGCGCAGGATGGCAACGCGCACCAACCTGTTACTGCAACGAGAGCGACAGTTTGGGCAGTTCGAAACTGAGCGTGAGGAGTTGCTAAATGAGATCACGCGTGCTGAACAAGCGTGCTGGAGGCACAGCTTCCAGTCACATTCCATGCGGGGGCAGCTCAACGTCATGCAGCTCTGAAGGCAACAGCTTCGCCATCGCCGCTCCCGTCTTTCAACGCCTCCACCGCAACGCAAGACTCCTACAAATTCGAAATCGTGGCAGAACCTCAGAAGACAACAGTCAAACGAACCAAACTTGGCAACTCTCCGCCAGTGGCGGCAGCCGACACGAGTCCCAGCGCCGCAACCAGCAGCTGGACGCCACCGGGGTGCAGGAGTCGGAGAAGGACGAACAAATACGACTCAAGGTGGGAGAGGAAGAGGGACAACAGCGGGTGCATACCATAAAAACTCTCTCCCCGTCCATGTGGATTGAACCTCCCCAGAGTGTGCCACGAGACTGATGTGGGTCCGCAGAGTCTCCAGGCGAAGGACCATCTGAGGGAGGGCACGTCCTTGAAGGGGCCCTGGGACACACAAATAAATACACACAAATAAACAGATTCCCCATATTTTCCTATATTTTCTTGGTTTTTGTCTTCCCCCCCACTTCCAATATTTCCTCATATTTTCTGGGGAGTCGACGATTAATCCCACCAGCCCTTTGGGCGTGAGTGGTTTAGAGAGCCCGCTCTGTTCTCAACCCCCTTCTTCCCCTTCGGGGAGGGGTTTACCCCTCCCCCTACCCCATCCCCCTGGGCCTGGAGAGGTCCCTCCGCGGGTCGTCAGGGGAGTCATTTTCGACTCCTGGGAGGGCTAAAAAACGACACCCCTCACGAGGATTCTGGCCCCGACGGGGGGAGGGAGAAAAAACCCTCTCCTCTTCTTTGAAGCCAGAATCATTGATTTTACTACGGTTTTGGCCCCATTTTGGCCTTCTGAAGGGCCAGCGCTCATTAAAGCTCCCCTCTTCCTTCAAGGCAAAATCATTGATTGTACGAAGGTTTTGGCCTCATTTTGCCCTTCTGAGGGGGCAGCGCTCATTAAAGCTCCCCTCTTCTTTGATCGATTCCCTCCAAGATGGCCCCAAGAAGCGCCCAGGAGGCACCAAGAGGCCCCAAGATGGCCCCAAGAGGCCCCCAGGAGGCCCCCAAGAGGCCTCCAAGAGGCCCCCAAGATGCCCCCAAGAGGTCCCCAAGAGGCCCCAAGAGGCTCCCCCGAGGCACCCAAGACGCTCCTGGAAGCCCCTGGGGCCGCCAAGAGGCCCCCAAGACGCCCCAAACGGCCTCCAAGAGGCTCCCAAGAGGCCCGAAGAGGCTCCCCCAAGGCACCCAAGACGCTCCTAGAAGCCCCTGGGGCCGCCAAGAGGCCCCCAAGACGCCCCAAAAGGGGACGAGGTGCCCGAACGCCTCACGCCACGAGGAGCCCGAACGACTCACACCAGGACGAAGGGCCCGAACGACTCACACCACGAAGAGCCCGAACGACTCACACCAGGACGAAGGGCCCGAACGACTCACACCAGGACGAGGCGCCCGAACGACTCACACCACGAGGAGCCCGAACGACTCACACCACGACGAGGGCCCCGACGACTCACACCACGAGGAGCCCGAACGAGTCACACCAGGAGGAGGGGCCCGAACGACTCACACCAGGACGAGGGGCCCGAACAACTCACACCACGAGAAGCCCGAACGACTCACACCAGGACGAAGAGCCCGAACGACTCACACCACGAAGAGCCCGAACGACTCACACCAGGAAGAAGGGCCCGAACGACTCACACCAGGACGAGAAACCCCAAACGACTCAAACCACGAGGAGCGCTTTCTCTCCCTCCTCCTCCGCCTCGTCCTTCTCCCGCTCCCCCCACAAGGAGGATGTACAAGGAGGCGGGAGGAAGGAGGAACAGGGGAGATATGCGGGGGCAAGCGGACACACGCCTGAAAAACACGACTGTCGGCATGCTTCGCAAGAGTTGCTGTTGTGAGATGGGCTGGTGGGGATACGCGAAGCGTAAAGAATTGTGTCTGTGTGTTTCTTTCCCTCCTGAGTCCTGACAGGCCGGTTTCATATCTGGCGTGCCTGCTATACCCCAGGCGCAGCCAAGACGACCAACGCTGCTGGCGAGGCTACGAGGCGCCCCCCGAGCGAGCAAGACACGCTCACCGAAGCCCGTGGCGTCAACCCGCAGCAGACGCCAGGCGTGGTAAGGTACCCCAGATTTCGTAATAAAGGGAGGGGGGTCTCATTTCGGGGGGGGGGTCTCTTCCAGGCTATCTTGGAGGGCCTGGGGGGTCTGGGGACAATGTTTTGGAGGGTTCTCCCACGGGGGAGGTCTGAAATGGCTCGTCTTGGAGGGTCCAGACCCCCTCCCTTTTATTACGAAATCTGGAGTAGAAAGCATCGCGGCGTGCTCTTCAATGCGCACCAAGCGGCCAGGGCCGGCAGAAAGTCCAGGCCGAGCCACGGCAAAGGACTAGCTGGTGGCCACCACAAACACTGCATCAGCAACTGCAACTGCATCTTTTGGAATTCAACGCTGAAGCAACCTCCACCCGAATACAGTCAGCACGCGTGTATAATATATCCACATGGAGCCAAACTGCATTGAGAACAAACAACCCAAAGGTGCAGCAGATGCAGCTGGAATTCAATTTTCCCAGAATATGACTTCAGCGAGGCTTGCACACAACCAGTGGCGTTGGCATCCTAATCAGAAGTGGGCTGTACACTGGTGCCCACCAACATTGCCCCCGTACGTTCCATCTATCAGTAAACATCAATTTTCTGTTAGTGCACTCAAAACAGCAGTATCAATCACATGGCTGCCAGGTCAAGCATACATCTACTTAATGTTCGTGAGATTCGTTGAGATGTCCGCGGGCCTGTCCGGCACGAACCTTTATCTCGTAGACACTGCTGACTGGTGTTAGCAGAAATGCCTAATGGCAGTTGTTTTGTGAGAGCAACTGCTAACACCTTGCCATCCGAGGAGCTGCCGTGCTTAGCATGCATCCTTCGATCGTGCTCCTCCTTCCTGGGACGGGGAGTGGGGGGGATCGAGGTGGATCTGTAGAATCCGGCACAGTGCCTTCGGCGCGCAGTGGAGTGCCCCAAGGCTCATGCAGTTCTGCGAGGAAGAGCTAAGTTGGGCGTGTCCCCTGTACAGGGGGATTTGTGGCGAAAAAATTAAGAATACTAAAATACCCCCCCAAATGAGCAACCATGGTCAAAATTCGTCCCCTGACTATTTTTTTATTCTTTTGAGTCTTCCCCCTGTAGAGGGACAGGCCCGACTTGAAGGCAGAGGGCTTGTGGTTCTCAAGGATCTTGAGGACCTGGACCCCCCAGCTTCCAGGCGGTCGTGCGCACTACCAGCGTGTGTCGCCTGAGCTCTTGGGACGCCAAGAGGGCACCAGGATGGGCCAATGGGACCCTAAGAGGTCCCCCAAAGGCGGCCGAAGAGGCCTCCGAATCGTCGAGCGATCGGTCCAAGACGCCCAAGATGACCGCCGGACGGCCGAAGATGCCCCCGAGACGCCCCGAGATGCCTCTGAGAGAACTCTAAGATGCCACCATTTTTGAAAGATGTTGGCGCTCTCGCCGTTTCTGCTTCCCGACCGGCCCAGGGATGCCGCCAAGATCGCCCCAGGACGGCCCAAGAGGCCTCCAATAGGGTCCCCAGACGGCCCGAAATGGCCCACAAACGTCAAAAGAGGCGCCCAAGACAGACCCCAGAGGCCCCCAAGACAGCTCCAAGAGAGGGCCCCGACGGGGGACCTGAATGGACAATTGGAGCTCCAGAGGCCCCCAGGAGGCCCTCAGAGGCCCAAGCAGGCCGCCAAGAACCCCCCAGAGGCCCCAGGACGTCCTACGAGGCCTCCAAGAGGCTCCCAAAAGGTCCCCCAGAGGCTCCCAAGAAGCTCCAAGACGGAGGCCCCCGAGAGCGATCCTAGAAGACCCCAAGAAACATCCCTGATAACTTTGACCCGCAACCCATGCACGGTGACGGGATAGGCTGGAGGCCATTAGATGATCCGCCGCCCCCTGTCGCTTCATCGCAGGGGTGCCTGGCGTGCTGAACCCTTTCGGTTTTGGTTGTGGTTCTTTTCCAAAAAGAACTCCCCTGGGGCTCCGGCGCGTCCCGCCGGGGTCCCGGGACGATCTTCAAGGAGCTCAATTCCCCAACAAAATCCTCCAAGACGGTCCAAGATGGCATCCAAGATGGCCACGTCGGTCCAAGATGCCCTCCAAGATGGTCCAAGATGGCCTCCAAGTCCGCCCAAGATGGTCCAAAATGGCCTCCAAGACGGCCCAAGAGGGTCCAAGATACCTCCAAGTTCACCGAAGAAGCCTCCAAGACGGCCCAAGACTGCCCAAGATGTCTCCAAGAGTCCTCCAGGAGGGCCCGAAGAGGCCAAAATCATTGATTTTCGTTAGGTTTTTGACGGATTTTGGCATTTGCCTCTTCTCGGCATTCCGACGGCTCAAGACGGTCCAAGAGGCCGCCAAGATCGCCCCAAGATCGCCCACGAGGCCTCCAAGAGGGCCCCATGACGGCCCAAGAGGCCTCCAAGACGGCCCCAAGAGGGCCCGAAGACGGGCCAAGAGGCCTCCAAGACGCCCAACATGGCTTCCAAGACGGCCCCGAAGCGCCACAAGAGGGGCCCAAGTCGGCCCAGAGAGGCCCCAAAGACGGCTCCCGACAGCGTCAGACGGACCAGGAACCCACCAAGATGGCCGAAGTTGGCTCGAAGCTGGCCCAAGACAGCCCCAGAGGCCTCCAAGAGGGCCCTCCAGGAAGGCCAGAAACGGCAAAAAACACAAATTGTCCTGAGGTTGTTGAAGGATTTTGACATTTGCTTCTTTTCGGCCTTCAGACGGACCGAGACGGCCCAAGAGCTCTCAAAGATCGCCAAAAGATCGCCCAAGAGGCCTCCAAGATGGCCCCAGAACGGCCCAAGAGGCCTCCAAGACAAGACGGCCCAGGAGGCCTTTAAGACGCCCAAGACGGCCTCCAAGACGGCCCTGGAGCATTCCAAGAGGGCCGAAGTCGGCCCATTGAGGCGCCCCAAACGGCTTCCGACGGAGTCAGACGGGCCAGGAGCCCACCAAGACGGCCGAAGATGGCCCTAACATGGCCCAAGGCGGCCCAAGGCGGCCCAAGAGGCCTCCAGGAGGGCCTCCAGGAAGGCCCGAAAAGCCCAAAAGCATGATTCCCATGAGTGTTTGAAGGATTGTGGCATTTGCTTTGTTTCGGCCGTCCGACGGCCCGAGACGGCCCAAGTGCCCCAAAAGATCGCCCAAGAGGCCCACGACGGCCCCAAGAGGCCCCCAAGACGGCCCAAGAGGCCTCCAAGACGCTCAAGATGGTCTCCAAGATGGCCCAAGAGCCCTCCAAGACGTCCTCCAAGAAGGCCCGAAAGGGTCAAAATGGCCTCCAGACGGCCAAGATGGCCTTCAAGATGCCCACGTGTTCCCCGAAGGCTCTCCAAACCGATTCGGGGAACACATGGTCCGATAGCTTGGCAGGTCTGGTCTCAACGTTCGGCCACATGGGCGCTTCCAAAAAGGCAGGGGGCGGCAGTGATTCGCCGTAGGCGTCTTCGATCACGTTGTCCTGCTCCGAGCATCGAACTTTGAAACTGGGGTTCACGGTAGGATAGCTTAATGATCCGAGTCCTCAGCAAGCCCCCAAAGCTGCCCACCGGACGGCCCGTGGGACCCTACCTAGAGAATCTACCCTGGACTCAAACGGTGGCCGCCCCAGAGAACCTGTGGGCCATCCTGGACTCTGGAAGCCCCGATGGAGCAGCAGCCAGCAGCGTGAGATGCAGCGCACGCAACTCTGGCTTCAAACATGGAAAATGGCAATCACCCCGAGGTCCAGGAATATCGGACTCCCAGGCGGTTGTCCCCGAAGCCCCCCCCGAACAGCACAGTGTGCGTGTCCTGGAGGGCCGATTGTTGCCTCCGCCGGCCTCCGCCAGCAGAGGCGCACCCGTCGTAATTCCCCCCCTTCCGCTCGGGTGCTGCCAGAAGTACCCCTGGCCCAAGGTACCCCCAGGACTCTCGGGTGGCCCAGATGGCCTCCAGGGCACCCCTCACGAGGCCCAGAGGGCCCCAGGGGCTCAAACATGCAGCGAGAAGCTGGGGGCACCTTGGGCCAGGGGCACTTTTGGAAAAAAGTTTGCGTGTCCTGGAGGGCCGATTGTTACTTCCTCTTTTTCCCCCCCCAAACGCCATACCACCGAATAATCAAACTGGATGTCTTGCGGCGGGTCCAATCAAAAACAACCGATATCTCGGCGCAGCGTAATACCGGCATGAACCAGCTGGGGCCTGAAGGGGGCGCTGAGGCAGGGCGGGGGCGGGAAGCGTTGGCCCACCGCCCACACGGTCCCGCCCTCGAGCACCCCCTCCCCTGAGGGGATGGCACTTCGAGAGCAGCCGCTGCAGGGCCCTCCAGTCCCGCGGCGGGCCCTCGACACAAAAAGTTACCTAGCTTCCTCGCTCTCTGGATCCTCCTACGTTCCAGGGCCCCTCTTCCGCTGGCATCCTGTGGAGGGCCGAGGGCGCAGCTGCGCGGAGGGCTGTGCCCTCTCTGGGAGCGCCAGCGAGAGCGTCGCCCTCGACGCAAACACCCAACGATGCGTTTTTGTTCGTGCGAGGCCACAAAATACGAGATCTATGTTGCATCACAGCAGCAATTCGGCCCTGACTTTCGGGGTTTCGGTTCAGTGAAGTGATGGATTTCGGGGTCCTTACGTGGGAAACAACATCACTTCACTAATCTGGGGCCCCTGGAGCCTCAGTGGGCCCTGGGGCCCAAAATTAGTGACGTGATGGTTTTCGGGCCTCGAACAAAAAACCTGGCCCCATCCACGGGGGCGATTTCTTGTTCTGGATCCATGCTCGATGGTCCCTGGGCGAAGGCCGTGGGAACACAATGCTTAAAATATCTTCCCCACAAGCAAACTGGTCCAGCACAAGACCGTGGAGATGGAGTTGTGTGCAACATGTGCATCCCCTGGGGGCACGACTCTTGTACACCACCCTGACGAACAAGCTGACCCTGCACAAGGTACGCGCGCGAAGTGTCGGTGGCCATGAATCGCCCCCCCGATGACGGCCCCAGAGACCGACATCAAGAACAAACACGCCCGAGTTGAACAAAACTGCTCGTCGGAGACCCATTGGCGCCGCCCATGCTTACGGACGTACAGTCGGGGCCTTGACCTAAGGAACCCTAAATAAGGAACAAGGCTTCTTTTTTCCGTAAGTTAAACTTCGATTCCCGATCGAAAACATAAGGAAAACCTGAGGCAAGCTGTGAAACACTTAAGGAACGCAGAGCCCCTCACCAACCAAAAAGGTTCCTTCTTCAGGGCCCCGACTGTAGCGCGAAGGGCGCGGCCTGCTAAGCAGGCGGCGGGGCTTCGAAGAAGGCAGTGGAGCCTCCACATTCTTCGTAAGACGCCCACCTCGTGCCACCCTCTGATGGGCGCCGTCAAGTCTGGGGGCAGCACGCCCTTGAATGATGTGTAAAACGCTTGGGGCGTGCTCTTTTGTGTTTTATCAAGAAAAGCGACGTTGATTCGTTGTTGTTTTTACCCCGCGTCGGGGGACCCGTTTTGGTTGTCTGTCTTCGGGTTCTCTTTCGCGTCGTGTTCGGTCCGGTTCCGTTTTGTACTGCCGATGTGTGTGTGTGCGTGCATGCGTGCGTGCGTGCGTGCGTGTGTGTGTGTGTGTGTCTGTGTGTGTGTGTATGAGTGCGTGCGTGCGTGCGTGCGTGTGTGTTTTGTGTTGGGCCGTAGTTTCGCACACTTCGGTTGGCTGATTAACGACAAGCTGAATATTGGACAGAACAAAAAGCGCACACACACACCAACGTTTCTAATATCAGCAAAGGGAACGCCCCGACTCGGCTACACTTAAGAGTGACCCTGGGCAAGAGTGACCTTTGGTGCGAGGACTCAGGTGGCGCAAGATGTCCAAATCCAAGCGCGCAGGAAGCCGCTATCGCATCGCGCTCAACAATCGGGGGGATGCCGATGAGCCCGCACCAAAGGGTCACTCCGGCGAAGGGTCAATTTTACATGCAGTCGACCGACGCGCGGCGCCTAAGATCGAGTAGGGGATCGACTGCAGAACGGACTTGACCCGGGAAGGATTCTTCCGTCGGTTCCACAGACAGTATACGTCGAGTGCTCCGCAGATCTACGGAGCATTCTGCGCATTGGTTCGCATATTCGACGGGGAACATGAACTCTGGTATCAATCAAGTATCCGGCGATGGACAAACCTCGCTTTAGTAAACCTCCATCTCGTGAAAACGGCCTAAAACCGAAACCAACGGACCTGGACCCGCAAAAACAGACGGCCGCGACGCCCTCTCGCGAACCGACATCGGCCATTCCGCTAATCGACGCGTCAGGGGAGGAGGTCTATCGTTATGTCGGGCCTGTCCCCCTACAGGGGGGTGTTCGACGAAAAAAATACACTAAACATAATCAGAAAATAGTCCAAACATAATCCAGGGACTATTTTTGTTTTTTCTTCGGACCTGTTGGGAATATGTTTGGGGTATTTTTCATTCTTCGTCGACAACCCTCCTGTATGGGGGACAGGCCCGACTTACGTCTATCGACCTCCGAATCATGTCGTCGATCCCATACTCGACAAGAACACGCCACGGCGCGCGGCGCCTTTCGCGGCGGCAGGGCGGTGCACGGCGCGGGCCGCTCCGCGTAGGCGGCCCACTCGGCGCCGTCACTCCACCACTCCCAGGACGCCGCCGCCTCCCCGTCTCCCGATGCGCGCGGCTTGCCGTCGCTCGGACGTCCATTTCCCGTGCATTTGTCGATCTCGCGCGTGTTTTTTTTGCTCGATAGTCCAGGATGGTCCTCGATGGTTCTCGCCGAGAAACAAAAAAATGCACACGTCCGAGCGATGCCAAGGCGGGGGGGGCCGCGACGCCAGGCTCGAGGGCCTGCAGCTCGTAGGCCCGCAGACCCTCGAGCAAGAGACGAAGCCAGGACGAGAAGGACCTCGGGCAGGGGATAACTCTTGGAGGCCTGGAAATTGGATCCAAAACCAGCCCAGGGGGTTGCCTCCACAGGGGGAAGATGATCCTAGATCTCGGTGTTGGTGGCAATATTTCGGCCACCTTGGAAGCCAGAATATTACCACCATCACCGAGATCGGGATCGTCTTCCCTCGGTGGAGGCACACCGCCGATCGTGGTGTTGGTGTCAACATCTAGGCCTGCGAAACTCGAGAACATCCGAGCTCCGGCGGGTCTGGAGGGTGTCTCGGGCGCCGCGGCCCCGGAACGCTCTGGAACGGACTTGTCCTCGTCCTTGCCCCGTCCGATCGAGCCTCGAACACTGTGCCCTCTGCCAGCGGGCACGATATTCGGTCGAGGTCGGACCTCGCGGGAAGCCCATCAACTCCAAACGTTCGAAGGCAACTACTGGGAGGTCTTCGTCGGATTGGACCCATCGAAAGCCACTACGTTAGGAATAATTGGCTACTGCGCCGGATTGGGCCGCGGGTGCAGCGGGATTTCGCGGGATTTAGCAGGACTCAGCCACATTAGGCGGGACTAAGCTGGATTGCATCGGATTCTGGAGCAGGGCAAAATCAGAATTTGGTTTCCCAGCAGTTGCACCGAAACAATGTGCCCGCTGCAAGCGGGAACGCTGTTCGGTCGAGGTGGGACTTCGCGGGAAGCCCGAACACACCGAACGGGTGCCCAGGGCCACCGGGGAATACCAGATCTCTTTGGGGCACGTCATTTTCGGCGTGTCAGCTATCGTTTCTAGGAGTCTCGAGAATCCAGGTTCTCAGACCCTTTCGCGTGGTGAACACGAATACGTCGGCATTTGTTTGGCAGGTCTTTGCTTCCCAAGCCGGGGCCGTTCACCGCAAATCCGGCAAGGGGCCCAGACCTCTCGGGGGAGTGGGAGGCTCGACGGTCTAGTCGAACTCGAGGAAGCCTGGGGAGAAAGCTCTCGCTCTTGCAGGTCGCCGGGGTTCTCGGGCGTGTCTGTTGGTTCCTCAGCGGGTGATTCTCGCTTCCTTCGGGATGCTCTCCAGCAGCTGCGCCCGGCCGAGAGCTTCCTGGGGAAGCCCGAGCTGTCCTGGACGCCGCCCGGCCCGCCGGAGGCCCGAGTCATGACCCCACAAGCTGGGAGGGAGTGGAGACCAGAATCACATGGGTTCCCTTGTACGGTCAACCCAGATAGTAAGGATGCGCGACAAGGATGCAAGGGCCTTGGACGCCCATTTCGAAGCGTTTCGAGCGGGGCGCGGCCAACGAAAGTGTCCAAGGATGGACCCAGGAGGCAAGGATGCAAAGGGTACCCTCGAGAGGGATGCCTATCCTTACTATGCGGGTCGACTGTCAGCCCACGCGCCGTCTGAGCCCGCCCGGACGCCGCGCAGATCGCCCCCAACGTCCGCCGGGGCGCCGGAGGCCCGAGTGGTGACCCGAGAGCCTGGAGGGAGGGGGGACCAGAATCACCTGGGTCCCTGAGCCCATTCGGCGTCTGAGCCCGCTCGGACGCCGAGCCTGCGCAAGGCCGAGGCCCATTCGGCTGGCCGAGCGGGCTCGACTACCGCGGCCCAGCCGGTGGCCCCGAGCGGCCTCAGACGCCGACCGGGCTCCGAAGCGTTCCCTGGCTGGGGACTGCCCTGAGATCCCACAAGGCGGGAGAGAAGTGCAACACCCAACTTGGCCGGCCGAGCGGATTAGATTCCCACGGCCCCGTCGGGGCTGAGCCCGTTCGGTGGTCGAACTAGGGAAAGGAACTCTATACACCGACGCTTTTTACGACCCTGCGCTGAAATTCGCACAGGAACGCGGATCCTGGTGTATACGGGATCCAGGTGTATACATTTTTCGTTGTTTCCCTTGGAAAACGGGGGAAAGGTATACACCACACCACCCCGACGTGGTCCCCGACCCTCAAAACGTCGTGGGACTGAAAAAACGCACGAAAAAAACGCCGCTGGTAATGTATATGTTCCAGTTTCCGACGAGCGGGCTACGAACAGGCTACGACGCCGAGGGGTCTCAGAGAAGGGACCTGGGGTCGCTGTCACAACGGCCGTCTTCCCCCGGCCGTGCGGGGGGCATCCACCGAGCTCCCCTGGAGGACGCGCCCACCGATGGAAGGGTGCGGAGGAAGACCAGGTGACATAGGGAAGGAGGATGAGGAGGGATAATGAAGATAATGATGAGGATGAGGATGAGGATGAGAACAGGGAGGAGGAGGAGGAGGAGGAGGAGGAGGAGGAGGAGGAGGAGGAGGAGGAGGAGGAGCTCGATGAGCTCGAGGAGGAGGAGGAGGAGCTCGAGGAGGCGGCAAGGAGGGGAAGGGAGGGTTCTTGATAGTAGGGGAGGAGGAGGAGGGGGAGGAGGAGGAGGAGGAGGAGGAGGAGGAGGAGGAAGAGGAGGGAAAAGGAAAAGGAGGAGGAGGAGGCGGAGGAGGAGGAGAAGGAGGGGCGGGAGGGATATGTGGGAGCAGGAGGATGAGGAGCAGCAGCAGGCCTCCATAGACCGTGGGCGCCAGAGGCATGCGTGATTACGCGTGTGCTCTCGATGCGAAGATCGAAGATCGAAGCTTCGAGGATCGGAGGGTAGTCTGTTCGGTTTCCGGGGAGGCGAGAATCGAGGATTTATACTTCGAGGATCGAAGCTTCGGGACCCCTGGGCGGGGCCCAGTGGGCGGGGGTTCTGACAGCCTGCGGGGCGCCCGTCGGGGTGCGCCGAGGAAGGCTGTGGCCGTGGGTCGACATGTGTTCCACGCGCCATGCTCGCCTTAAGTCGGGCATGTCCTCCTACAGGCGGGGTTTGGACGCTTTCTTGTTTTCCCCCACATCCTACGCGGGGTTTTAGTTTTCACTGCACACACCCCGCGTAGGATATGATCATTCCTCTCTTCCTCATCACTCACCCACACACTCAAACACTCACATCATCATCGGCACCACCACATCGTCATCAAATACACACTCATTTACACTCCCTCGACCACTCTGATTCACGCATAACTTACCCGATAACGATCCCACTCACTCACTCATTTACCCTAAATGTCTCCCTCACCCACGCACTACTACGACAGAGTGAATTGCGAAGAAAATCTAAGCGAGTCCGCCGATCATGTTGCTAATCCGAGCGGGTCTTCGGAACCCAATAATTGTCCTCACTTTCGGTCTCCTCAAGCCTTAAAAAATGGAGTTGATTTCAAAAAAAAACATCCCCGTCTGTGAGTGGATTGTGTGGAAGTCTCAGGCGGGAGCCCCCTCCCCATGGGGCCCGCGAGTCGCACTATTAATCCACACAGGTTTTCGGATCCCTGTAACTGTCGTCACTTTTGGCCTCCTGAGGCTTGAATTTGGATGGAGTCTCGAACGAGAACCTCGTCTGTGAGGAATTGTGGGAAGTCTCAGGCGGGAACCCCCTCCCTATGGGGCCCGCAGATCACGATATTAACCCGAGCGGGTCTTCGGAATCGTTTAAGTGTCGTCACTCTTGGCCCCCTCAGGCTTGAATGTGGAAGAATTATCGAGCGGCAGCCTCGTCTGTGAGTGAACTGTGAGGAAGTCTCAGGCCGCAGACCCCTTTCTATGGGGCCCGCAGCTTGCGTTGGTAAACCCAGCGAAGTCATGCGAATCCCGTAACAATCGTCGTTTTGGGGCTCATCGGGCCTCACTCCGAGTACGAAGACCGCGCGATGGGCCAGCATTTTCGCCCCCACTACCTGTCGCAGGGAATCGGGCTGCAGGTGCGTGGCTTCAAGGAAACTCCAGCTAACCGAGAGGTCGCCGAGCTGCTGCGACAGGGCGACGAAGGCTCCGGACAAGCGCCGGCGAAGCCGAGGCGCGGGCGAGGAGCTTGCTCATGTTCAAACCCAGCGAGCAGGAGCTCACGTGGCAGAGCTCGGGGTCGGACGTCGTGCGCCGCTCGGGGTTCACCCTGACGCACGCGTCCTACCTACCCTCCATGTTGCCGCAGGGCCAGACGCTGTGCAAGGGCGCCACCATCGACTGCGCGAGGAACGAGGACGCTAGCCGCACGGGCATGTCGAACGAGCAGTGGTGGCTGCACCTCTACGTCATGGTCGCCCGCGCCACGCGCATGCGGGACACGCTGATCCTGCGGCCGCCTTCGCGCGAGCTTCTGGAGCGCAGGCCGCCGGCGTACTTGCGGAAGGCGCTCAAGAAGTTCAACGAGAAAGCGAAGACCTCCAGGGGTGAGGCGGAACAGCTCGCAGCACGGGTGGGCTTCGCGCTGCCCCCCGCCTGAACGCGGCCGCGCCTACCTCGCGGCCTGCGGGGTTGTCCCAACGGCCTGGCCCGCGGGGTTGTCCCGACGGCCAGCCCGCGCGACCCAGCGGCCTGCGGGGTTGCCCCAGAAGCATGGCCCGCGGGGTTGCCCCATAGGCTTCGTGATCCAGCCGTCGGCGAACGCGCGCGCCCGCTGGCCGAGGTGGCGACGGCGCCTTGGAAAATCAATGTGCTTGCCCCGACCAGGGGAAGGGGCTGTGCACATGGACAAGAGGCAGGAGGAGAAGGAGAGGGGGCAGGGTTAAGGGGGGGGGCGATGATGAGGAGGTGGAGAAGGAGGAGGAGGAGGAGGAGGAGGAGGAGGACAAGGAGGCGGAGGAGGAGAATGGGAGAAATAGAAGGAGTAGGCAGGGAGGGCAGAGCAGAGGGATAAAGGAGGGTGTCCGCCAGGGCGAGGAAGACAGGGCTAAGGGCAAGCTAAACAGATTTTCATGTGGACTCC